GAAACATAGATTAATGTTGCGAAGAAGTCCAACTAGAGAATAGCATCTAGCATAGCTGTTTCATGAGTCAAATATGGGTAGGTTTAGTTTTATGACTTACAGCAGTCCCCTGTCCCAAGATGCAATCTCCTGAGAACACAGCATTTTCCTCCTCCAAGTAGAGAACCATGTGATCTGTTGTGTGTCCTGGCGTGTGAATAGCACGTAATGTTGCACCTTCTGTTRTGATGATGTCATTGTGGTTTATGAAGTGGTATCCCTGAGAGAGACTGGGAATAGTCTCTGTGTGGTTTGGTCGTATTAACTTGGATACATTTATTGGATCACCTACATCATATTGCATATTAGGAAAGATGAAACTGTCATAACACTCTAGCAACATTTTTAGTGGATAAATACTGTTGTTCCTCAAATTGTATGATTTTGGGTGACAACATACGATGGTGTAATAATTTGCCAGAGGAGGGGGGGGGACTAATTCAGCCTGCTAATTCCCTAATTTCAAAGGTGGGTGTCCTCCATGTCCCTTTTAGGGTTTGAAATCAGTATTTTGGTCCCGCTTAGGGTGATAATAACGTGAATTCCCACCAACTGAGTTTTGTGGTTCCTTTTAGGGATAAAATTTTAGCACTGCCACAGCCATCATCTCACAATAGAGGTCCTTTTTAGGGGTCATTTTCCGAATTTCCAACAAGAACCCCTGCCCTTTGATATTAGGAAGTCCCCCCCTGAGAATAATGTTGACAAAGTCTGAAACATTTTAGGAAAAATATGTTTTGTTATATGAAAAGTAATAGAGAACACATCTTAGTTTTTGATTTATGCATGTAGCCATTGGTACGATATAGAATTCAACAAACTATCTATAATCTAACTATGAATATGATTTTGTTACCTGTATGCATAGCTAAGACATCAGCTATTCCACCAACATGGTCAGGATGCCAGTGCGTGACCAAGATTTCTTGAATGCTTGTATTATGGGATGTTAATGTTTCTTTGAGATTGCTGATGTATTCGGGAATGCTACCATTGCCAGTGTCAATCAAAATTCGTCTAGAAAGAGCATTTAATTATTGGTTTTGTTRATTTATGAGATTTGGCCAATCACTTAACCTTCCTAGAGGAGTAGTATATGCCAGGTGTTTGAAGCTTGTAACATAAATTATACCATGATCACCTCGGATTCTTTTGTCTTCTGAGGAATACTTTCAAGCGAACATCCCTCCCTCATGCATAATAACATAAGGGAAGATTAGACTAAACGTCACTCATGTTATTCATGAGGAATGAAAGGCGAAGGAAACCTTTGCTTCCTAGTAGGGACAACTAAATGTCTTCTTTTTATCTATGCAATGAACGGTCTGGTTATCATCTCAGTCACACTGAAATGTGGGATGATTTTTGGGCCAAATTGACCGAGTAGCTCTGCGGTTCCGAGTCTATACTTCGTACTGCTGAGCATGTGCACTTGAATTTCAATGTTTGATAATAGTTGATAAGCGTCTTTGCATTATACTTGCAAATATAAAAACTACTTTTCGGGGTTGAAGTTAAGGTTCGTTAACTTCAGCATTGAATAGAACTGAAAAGCAATTATTTTTTTAAAAGTTCGTTGTGGGAAATCAGTAACAATAGTCGGATTACCAATATCATTTTGTACTGTTGTTCTGCAAAAACCTTTTCAATGACACAATAAAGTGCATGATACTCTTAGAACAGTGCGTCATCCATTATTTTCATGTCACATTCCAATTCATGCATGAATTGTTTGTTGCAATGTTTACTTATAAGCTTATACAACTTCTGATTGAAAACATTGGAGCTTGCAAAAACAAAAAAACAAAAACAAAAAATCATATTCGCTCCGAAAAGTTCAACTTCAATTCATTGCATTATTTTTTGTTATTTAAACTCTACAAATATATTTAAGCTTAACTTCAAAGCCCTCGTCGAGTCTAATCAGCATCAGCATTACGAAGTTTCCCTTACCTCTTTCCTGTCCCAACCAAGTACGTATTAGTRCCCTGTAGAGTCATAGGGCTTGGATTGCATCCTAGGATTCTCACAACACGTGGAGATATCTGTTCGACACTAGGAATAGGAACTAAATTGCTGTTTTTACTAAACACAGAATAAACCATAGACGCCATTTTATTCCCCATTGTGTTGTCTGCTGTCTACAAGTACTGCACCACAGGAAGACCGACATATTCAGGAAGACATACACACCAGAGAAAGAGAAAAAACTCATTGTCTCAATTTTGCTCATACAAACATAATTATTTTTATGCATTTAGAATTCCGCGTTGTAAATGATAGAAAGTCAATGGAGTCCGTTCTTAAACACATTAAAAAAATATGTTTAGATTTCAGATTTATTATAACTTTGTGTAATATAGCAAAAGACGGCTAGTCTAGGCAGGTTAGATGTTAGAAAAACTTWAAAATATTTTACAGTTTACATTTGTCAAGACATACATGTATAGCATCAAAGTCATTACCATAAAAAAAAA